TATCCATTCATTTATACATCCATCCTGTCTCAGTCCCTCAAGCCATCAATTTTAGTTCTCTACTATTGATTATGCTGGATGGGCAGGTGAAAAAGCAGTTCAAATAGAATTGGAATCCTAACAACAACGCATCACCTAACGGAACTAGCCTACTATCACCAAACCATCTTCCTCTTTTGTGTTTTCTAAAAGTCTAACCTACTTCAATCCTTTCATATCTTTCAATCACAAAACTGCTTCTTGTTTTAATCCTCAGCGTTTTCATCCGTGTACCCTAAGTTATTTTATTCCAAATTTACTCTCATTCCAATTCATCCCCATTCGAGTAATGATGCCTTTGAAATGACTGGCATTTAACACCGATGTTATCTACCCAGCTAGCTAATTTAGTGACCCTAAGCGTTCCGGCCCTTTTGTCGGTTCTTAATGGTTGTGGTGAGGTATAAAGCCACCCGCGTACTCCTTTTAGGTTAAGCAGTAAAACGGAGATGCTGAGCACTCCAAAGATGATGAGCATCCTGTAGTGCAGCAACCTTATGAAAACGGCATGAGAACCAAGTGTACTTTTGCTGCCTACCGGCTCTCTCCCCCTCGCTCTCTCAACTGTGTACGCATGCGTGCGTGCGTGCGTGCACTGCATTCGTACAGGCCTGATTATTTACAGTGCAATCTCGGAAGTGCACAGGCATAAACATTTTCATGATGCATTTTTCGTGCGTGCATTTGCGAGTACCTCGTGAGAGAAAAGCTACGACGATGAGCCGAAAGGAGGCGAGGGTGAGGGAGATATGAGTGGAGCCTGCATTTAGCTCTCACACATCCACGAAACGCCTGTTAATAAAAACTTTTTATTTCCACCAACTAAAAAAGAGTGAAGGAATGTAAGTTTTTATCTAGAATGACGTTACGGCTTTTTTACTGACGATCACAAAAGTTTTACTGTCAATCATAGCAGACACAAAATTGGTTGGTTGATGTTGGCCAATAAAAAAGCGGTCATTCTACAGTCCCTCATTTTTATTGGTCAATTTAATTGCTAAAATGGCTTTAGAAATGCTTCAGGAATAACCTCCATGGAAGGGCAAAAGAGGGCCCCCTGTGGCATCCCGAGTCCTGCCTGAAGTAATAAGGGGAGAAATCAAACACCAAGCTAAATAAATTATGAAAGCATTACACCGACAATGAGCTGCGTTATCTACAGCCCAAAGGCACGTCTTGCCTTAATGTGGCGATAGCGCATGCAAACAAAAATTCAGGGCTAGAACAAGGTGCAAAGGCCAACTAGGATAGAGTTTTAAGTGGTGATTAATTAAAAGGCATGATTTTTGAGTTTGAGGTCAGGAAGAGTTAATAAAGTGTATGACAGTGGCATGGCAACCGGGTAATCTAATCGACATCTCTCACGTCACATCACTGCTACTAAAGTGACTTATGGTTAGCCAGGCAACAAAGCGAGTCTATTCTGTATTGCGCAAATCGTTCTCCATGAGGATGGCATGGAGCTCTACGCATACCACCTGCGCTCGTGATCACGCAGCCCATCTGTGCGTCTACGATCAAGCTATTTTCAAAACCAATGTCTTATAACACCCTTAGTGGTAACGCCGCTGCTAAACTGCTTGCCTCGCGATGGGAGAAAACCCATAGCGTTTCAACTCCTGCGGAGAATAAGGATGCTGCTAATGCGTAGCCTGGTTACTGTGGAAGAGAGACGGATAAACTGCTAGAGGGTAGATTAAATGTAGAAAAAGTTAGTAAAACCGGAATGTCGGAAACATTTGCAAGCACGAGAAAGGAGCGAAGGGATTGTTTTTGTTTTTAGATAAATATGATGGTCGTATAATGTCGTCCAGTCTTCAGCGCTACTTCCCTAATGGTACTCTCAAGAACAGTTTACCAACTGGGTGTCAAGTTCGTTGGATTCAGGAGGCTTCTCATGGCGATGGAAAATCTTTGCAAGAAGGCATGGAGAGAAAGGGTTAGATAGAACACCCCACGCAGGATGAAGACTATAGGGCAAAACGAGCCGTCTTCCAGTTCCTCGTGTTTTGGCTTCTACGCCGATGACGTGGAGTCCTGTTCCCACCGCCTATAATGTCAGTTTTACAGATTTTCTACACGCTAAGAAGGTTTAAGGTAGAGTAAGGAAACATTACTAAAATGCAAAAGTTAAACCTTCCACCAAGTGTCACATCGTTAGTAAAATACACGACTTTATTTCTTGGGAGCAATAAAGTTGACTTGAAGCAAATTTCGACTGATCTACTACAAGCCCATTAGCGGGGCAACCAAATCTCCGTAAAAAGATTGCAAGGAAGACATCTCATGAATAATTTACTGTTGAATGCATGTTCACCGATATCCAGAGGTGGAAATACGACATGTTTCCAGGAGGCAGTCATTTCTCATCACGACAAAGGATGGATGAGGCGTTGTCGAAGCCACTTAAGTTAAAATGAGGATTTTGTTCAGCATTTGCTACAGATGCTTCCAAACAAAATCCAAATGACCTAACAATAGGGACGCCGAGCACCCATACGTAGACGCTCAAGGATTAAACCAGACCAAACACTTCCACAGCACAACATTTCACCAAACTCCATCAAATTTAAAAGCACCACACCAACCACCTGTCCAGTAATTACCTCAGGTAGTTCTAAACAAAGGCCAGGTGTTCCAACGCATTCAAATGTGACCGACGCCCTGGAATTGAATGTCATTTCTACCCACATCTCACATAAGGCAATAAAACGGCGTCAACATCAGTCGTGGAGCACTATATGACGATCTTGGTCAACACAAAACATTCAAGGAGCTAGTGAGGTAGTATTAAGGGTGGGATGCTCACAAAAGGCCATCAGGGGCTGGGATAAGTTCAAAAACACGTTGAATGACGCCCCGAGATTCAATTGCAAAAATACTCCAAAAAAATAACTGGACACAATCTCTTATTATTATTATCATCTTATTAAAGATGTCCCTTTAAAACATTTTATCGAAAGTACAAAAGCAAGACTATTTAATGAAAACTAGGATTAATATTATGTGATTTTGATTTAATGCTGAAATGAATTTAATGCCACAAGTGAAGGCAATAAACCCTTCACCTGTGCAGGACCTACCTCAGTCTTTTAGGTAAAGACCAAACCAGTGCATTGAAAGGCCACCGATGCGGCAGAATTTAAGCCCGCTTACACCCACATCCAACAAGACCATATCGCCGTCAAAGAATATAATATATATTCGGGCCACCAAGAGACAGATGATTCAGTACTCCTACACAAAAAAGAAGCACTCAAGGGGCCACAGGAGCAGAGGTGGTGACTACAGGGGCAGTGGAATGATCATAGAATGCCATCGGTGCTTGAGGAGCAGCAGCACCAGAACGAGGTTGGAGAGAAGGCGAGTCCATGGAAGTACGGTTGTAGGACACACCTACTCCACCCATTGAATCACGCGTGGAGGAGGCGGGTTCCCTTGCGGCAGCGATGGTGGTGCTCGTGGCTCCGTAGCCGACGCCTGCCCCAGACCCCGACGAGGTTGTGTTGGTCTGTCGACCTCGGGCAACCTCACTAAGAATCACCCACGCACCTTCCAAGTTCTCCTTCCATAATGTGACCTGCAGCATCAATAGAGAAGACGAAATGAACTCCAGGACACCAGTTACGTGGGCTCATTCTTAATCGTTCTGATGTATCACTTTCATCGACTACCTCAACCACACGTTTAAGTCTCTGACTGACGCCTTTCTTTAGGCTCGAAACGACAGTAGAGGAAAGCAGAACATTGGCCAAGGATTTGTCGGCCGGTTTCCAACTTGGAATTGAGACCAAGACGATGGACAAAACTGAGGTGGAAGTGGTGGGCGTAGCCACCTCAAAACCGGTCGCACGCAAAAAGGCAATTCGGCAAGGTAAAGGAACTACCTGGGCAGTAAGAAAAATAATTTCTGCAGTGCAGAATTTTGTAGTCAGACATCACCCATTCACCTAAATGCTGACAATAAAGAATTAAGGAAGAAATTTGTGCTAATTTTACACATTACCCGTGAGGGTTTACACACCCACTCCACCCACGCCATCAATCTTCGACAAAAGACAAAATGGCTACAACTAGACAAACAAAGCCTTGTAGCGTCTGCACAGACAACTCGGACAGCGTTGGCAGACTCACTGGGAATGGCTGAAAATGTGAAGCCTCACATTATGGGTTTAGCATCGACTTTTGGCGACTACTTTAACCCGCGGTTCTGCATTATGGTGGACCTTCCACTTAGCTGCGACTCACGACTGAGTCTCGTGGTCCTCTACATCATGAAGAAACAATTAACTTCAGGGTCAACCGGCCCTACCGAACATAGGTGAACACACGACATGCCCAAATACGACTGACGCCTTCTTCCCCTTTTTGGAAATGCCTTTTTCACCGCAAAGCGGAACAAAAAAAAACAATTGTTATGCCTCTTAAACATTGTCTCTCGCACATTTTAACAGGAAGCAGGTAGCATCTCACCTGCGGTTCTTCGATGAGACAAAAAAATTTTGAGAGGACTGTGTTTCCTTCCACCACAAGGACAGAGTGAATCGTTATTCAAAACGTATCATTAGCGATTTCCAACCGACAAGGCTCGGCCATTTCATTAGCCAAACATAACTCCGATCTTCTACACCACCGTCCCTCTTATTCCTCTTTGAGTATTCCAAAATAATAGGGAGAAGGTACTCGACACCTTCCGAGGCTACGAAAACCCGTCAATGAGTGCATCCATCATTCTCACAGAAGGATTCAACCCGAGTTTCAATCGAGCATTCCACTTGTTGAATATGTGTAGGAATGGCTACCGTGCTGCACGTTGGTAGCCACCACGGTGGGGATCGGCGCTGCTGAGCATCCCACCATCGTAGCACACTGTGCTGGAGGTCTTCTGTACAAGTGGATAACTGCAGGTCTTGCGTCTTTGTACACCAGAGACTGTTTATCACCAGACAATAATCCATGCCCACACTCCATATCCCTATTGCTTGCCATCTTGATGGATGGTGTGCGACCAGTTCACAGTATGCACATCGGGAGCAAGAGGTCATATAGCAAGGCCACATTGCCAACCCTTTTAGCCATGCCTGGATACCTAAAAGCCCCAGACTGAATGGATTATGCAAGGTGGTGAGACGTAATTCCAACTCCTTCAACTCTTCTTTCTCATATCTACCAAAGTAGACAGCAGAAAGATGAAATAGATGAATAAAAAATTGCAACAAAGCAAGGAAGCAAGCAAACCGAAACCTGTCCGAGTGTTTTTGCAGACACTGAAAAGAGAGAAAAACAAGAACAAAAAACAACAAGGCTGGCCTGGGGGCAGGAAGGGTGAAATTTACAGGAAAACATTACACTGTGTGATGACCCTGAGACGAAATGAGATGGGATGAGCTGACTCTGCCAGCCAACCAACCAGTTGTTGTGCCAGGTGCGCTAATTCCATGTAGGAATGAGACGACGAGACTCCGAAATTCAACTAGGACCTCACATTCCAGTCAACGCTCGAAAAGCCGGATGGAGGAATGCATGAAGGGGGCTAAGGATAGGCACCTCGATCAGGGGAGCAATGGGCCTCTTTTTTGACTAAATTAATGGATAACTTCCCAGGGCAATTCAATTTTTGCAGACTCGATGCCCTGAAGTGAAGTGTTCCGCTTAAGCGTATGTCGTGGGAGCAGAGGGGAGGGGCACAAATTCATCGGTCTCGGTGCCTCGGTTATGAGTGGACTGAATCAGAGTGGCAGATGCGCCAAACATTCAGTCAGACACAGTCATGGTCGTGAGGAATGAAAAGCCGGGGAGGAGGGAGGAGGGGGGTTGTCTTGCAAATAACAGCCGGTGAGATTGTTGGATCGGCCAGCCTTTAAATTTTGTAAAATATGTGCCTAAGAGGTGGTTCGGTCCTGTGGCAAGAGAGCTCCGATCTCCAGTTCTAAAACACCGTGGTTCGTTACAGCGAAGGAGACTGCGCTTTTCCACAGCGGAGAGTAACTACAGACAAGTAGAGTACGCTAGGAAGAGTGCACCACTTGTTTTTGAATGACCCTTTGTTCAACCACCATAAATTATTGTCTCCTCGTGTCAAGCCGGTATATTAACAAAATTTATTACCACTAAGCCCCCACCGCCTTCAAGTGGATTGGAAAAGGAGCTTGAAAACTCCCGATATTGTTGATCGCTCAAACGATGTGAATTTAAATGTGCCGGATCAGTTGCAAGAAACACTCCCAAATAGAGGTGCGCTAAGAAGGGAGGCCTTGAAAACCCTGTAGGAGGATCGCTATCCATCTTCCACGAAAAATAATTAACGTCAATTTAATGTAGAGAGCCTGCATTCGCTGAGACAAAAAGAAACAAATAAAATCAACTCGAAGAAGTGAAAACGAAGAAAGCACTGGTAATTTTTGAAATCGCTATTAAGTTGCTAAAAAAGTGGGCAATTTTGATTTCCCGTAATTTGCTTAGATGGAATGACTCGAAAGACAAGGTGATGAATCTGCGCCGGTCAAAGTGGCAGACGTGATTCAAAAAAATGCCGAATCACACCACTAAAGATCGTTCCAAGGCCACGGGGCAGCTAGACAGTTTGACATTGTTAAGTGTTAAATTGTGTCGAAAAACAAAGTCGTGAATTCTAGCCTTGGCCATGGCTTACATTTCAATGTTTGGGTGTTGTAAATGAAAAATAGGTCCTCGCGCCAGTCGAACAACAAGGGGCGGTGTCCGCCTATTATTGGGCGACCAAAAAAGGTCGTGCGATCTTTGGTGAAGAGCTTACTGAGACGGCTTGGTGTAACTTGTAGGGAGTTGTCAACGTGCACACGACTGTGTGAGCGTCAGTGTCGGCACATCATCGGTGTGTCGCCCTTTGTCGTGGTCTCTGCCGCCTCCCAACTACTTTGAACCAAAATCCACACCATCAAGTGTTTACCGAATCAGTTGGTAGGCGTGATTCCAGTTTGCTTAGTCTATCCCGGCTCCAAAGTTGCAGGTGCAGAAGACAGATGCTCGGTGCGTGGAATTTGCTGTATGATATTTAAAGAAGGTGCGGCAGTAGAACGCGCCACCCGGAAGTGCTTCAAGTAAACAATTCGGTTGTGGCGATGAATCACTCAAAGGTGGGTGCATCTCACTCACGAAGGTCCTCTCTCTCTTCATTCCCTGATGATGACGATGAATTACGCGTTGTTATTAACAGGATTGAATAGATGGAGAGCTACATGGCAGTAATAACTTTCAGTCATGATTGGCGTGACGCGAACAGTAATGAAGCAATTTGCTCGCAGCTAATATCTTCTGGGAAGGAATTGAAGTGATGGGGGCTGCAAGACAAATAAATTCCACCAGCAGGCATTGACAGATGGTAGATGTGTATTTCAACACTAAGCTAAGGAATATATTACTATCTCCATCGGATCAACTTGCCTAGGCAGGTGCCACTCCATCCTTAGAGGGCTATGCTCGCTTTGACTGCGATAGGCTGCAGATACAAAGGTCCGGTTGATGACGACGGCCTAGCAATTGCGGTTGAGATCAATCTAGATCACATAGTACCACTCGGTGTGCAGAAGAGGTTTTTTCAGAAGTAGCTAGGAAGAAAGTAGCTTTACAAGATGACTCAGAACCTCGCTTAGCCGTGAGAAGACCCAATACTGTACTTTGGGATTGGATAGGGGGAAATACTGTCCCTTCTGAATTCCCTTGATGGCACTTCTCAAGGTCATGATCATCACCTTTTCTCAACATTCGACCATCACGCAGGAAATAGAGCAGACGGTTGGGAAATAAAAGAAAGGTAGGGGTGGAGGTGGCTGGAGCCAGAAGCATTTTTTACAGAATTAAGGCTGGCAGATGCCTTGTTTTCCGTTGGGAAAGGGCGGTGAGTCGCAATGGTGACTATCTCAACAAATTCTTTAATTACGTGTTTGTTCCAGAAGCATAGTGTCAGCCAAAGTTGAGGAGCCAGATGGTTTGTTTGGACTCGTTGAACCCTAACTTATCCCCAGAACCATATTCAAGATTAGGAATTGAATGGAGGCCTTGAGATTCAGGCTTAAACATTTCTACTCAGTAGGGAGGAGTTCCACACGGGCACTGCTATTCATTGCGGCATTCATTTATTAGCACTTCGAGGTCCCAAAGAGCCCAACAAATCAACGACAAAGCAATTTCAATGGCGTGGAGTTCAACGTTCAAATTGTTCAATGTCTTTGAGGTTCCAAACAATTCGAGGCAGAAGAGAATTTCAACTGCTTCCATCCCTTGTTGGCAACCAGGCAGACACGAGATCTTTCATTCAGTCCACGGGAACAACTCAGTAAAGATGGAGGCGGTTTAATCAACCGCATAGACGAGGTTCAAGGACTCACTTCTAGATCTTTTTGACATGAAATTCGCACAATCTGAACTGTCAAAGAAGTCCATGCATTAATATCCCCTGAAAGGACACGGAAAAACGCTTCAGAGGTCACTAAAAAACCCGAAGAAGCCTCCAGCAGGCAGATATGAGATCAAAGTTGCGCCCTTCAGATGTAAACCGCGATTGGTGACAAGTGATAACACGCCTGATCTCCAGACACAAGGGTAAAGGAAAAACTCCGCCCCCAAGCAGTGGTTGTGCGCATGCCCTGCCTCACCCTCATCACACGACTGCCCAAGCTACCAAAAAGGCCTCAACCGAGTCATTTAAAGCCTCAACCGGATAGACACAAGAAAGGAAGGCGGACAAGGTGGCACGACAGCGCACATCGGCCAGTGTTGTCTAGCTTTTTTATTGCCAAGTTAACGAACCAAGGCGGTGTCTCGAGACCGTTTTGATTTAGAAAAGGGGTACTGATTAACGAACCGTACCAATGTTTACCACATGGGTATAAAGTGGCACTGAGTGAGAAAAATTCTGATCTAGACTCCTAACGGGAGGAAGGTGGGAGATGCAGACGTCGAATTTGCCATCAAAGAGAGATTATCACCGAGCCCTCCTGCCTTCGATCACAGCATAATGAATGCTCGGATGAGGACGTATGATGGTGGAGGTCAAAACACCTGCGGCCGCCACAAGCCCTCAAATGAATTGCAGTCAACCACGAGTTGGAATCGTGGCAGGCATACAATGTCTGAACATCACATTCTGCCATGGCAAAGTTTTGTCTAAGGCAGGAGAAGGGGAAAGAGGGAGATTCGTCTGAAACGTAGGGTTAGGTGATGGGTAATGTTCCACTGTGAGTTCATTTTCCCGCCCATTTTCTTTTGGTAGAAATATTTTCCAAAACCAGAACTACACACCAAAAATACCACCTTTTGTTTTCGTGCTTTCCAGTTGCCTCTCTGAGTTATTCAAAGTGGCTTACACCATGTTTACGCATCGGGACTCCAAATCACCCAGGTCTAGTCTCGTGCCATTACCAGACAGAAGTAGACATTAAGCAAACAATCTTTTTATTGCGGATAGTTTGCTGTTTCTAGACGGTGAACTCCAAACTGCAGTTCTTTTGGAGAGAGCGTACCCATTCTGCCACCATGACGGCGACTAAGACCCCAAAATTGCAGACAGCCTGAAGGTCAAACCCCGCCCCACTGTCATGGAGCCTGCATTGCAGAGGGAAATATTTGTCAAGCCAATTTTCAGGTCATTCTCATTGCAGATTACCCATTTTTTCATTGAATACTAGTAGCGGGTGTTCTAGACTAACGGATGAGCTTATATTCCAACTTTTAAGTTAAATTTTTTAGAAGACTTGTAGCGACCGAAGGCGATCATGGGGAACGACAAGAACGACACGGGAGAAGATGAGAGGTTATCGAATCCTAGAGAACTAGAACCCAATTTAAAAGTTTCCGGAATCTTAGAGGTGGGGAATGAAACGTTCCAAAGACACCAATTGAAGGGACAGGAAAAGAGGAGAACCAAGCATGACTCAAAACTACCTGGGGAAGAGGAGGGAATTGAGTGCCACATCCATCGTTACCAGACGAGGAAATGCGGCTTTTGTTTCAACTTTTCGACTCAGTTGATCTATTTTTGGCCTCTGGATGCGCCTTTAAAATCCGAAGAAATAACTACAGCTCGCCCGAAGGACACACGCGCACACAGGACAGAGAGAGCAGAGGAGGGGCAATGCAATGACCGAGAAATTGGATGAGTGAGCAAGTAACCTCAGATTGAACTTAAGGTAATAAAACGGAAGAAACAGAAATGAAATGTCAAGTTAACTTGATCCTTCCCTAATTCGGCTCCGTGAAAAAGAACGACTCTCTGGGTCATGTACCCCCTTCCTAATCATGGTATTCAAGGAGGCGGATGCTCTCAATGGTCAGATAGTATCAGAATTTGTCTAGCTGACCTAGGTTGAATCAACAAAGGCTCCATTATACTTCCGTACTTATTTTCATAAAGCCTTAGAATCAATACAATAGCCAGCATTTGGACATCCAAAGAGGCTGACAAACCCAGGATCAAGTTTTCCAAAGATCTTGGGTACTTTCGTCTCACACACATTGCACAAGTCATCTTTCATAATCATGTTCCCTTCTAGCTCCCTCGGCTTGAACTCCTTGGACTGCCACATTTGGAGGGTCATTGGGAGCTCTACCAGCATCAAGTCCCTAAACTTGACTCCTTTTCGACTTTTTGATCGACTTCCCGATTACTGCCGACTTTGAACACTTCGGCTAACGGAAGATGAGCAATAAAACGACCGGCCGATTGAGTGAGCGAGTGAGTGAGTGGTCGACCCGAGATTGACCCTAAGGTAATAAAAAGGACTCTCCTCTTCGCAACCTCGATGTGTACGCGTGCAAGCGTGTGGGTACGTGCATGCCCTCACGACGACATCAATCATGCGGAAGTGCACAGAAAGACCGAGAGAGAGAGAGAGAGAATACCTCACCAGATAAACAAATAACAAGAATGACGGAGCAGGAAAAACAGCGACGATGGCAGACCTGATTTCCGGCCATGAGTCGGCCGAGTGAATGTCTACGAGTGTCGTAAATCGGGTCACTGACAAACTAGAACGGAAAAGCGGCGTTTTCAAGACCTCGGCAGATCGTACAGGAATACACAGGCAAAGAGAACCATCACCAGTGCAGACTTGACTCGGTGCCACACCCATGCTACCAGTCTTCCAGTCCATCATCACACCGATAATAAAGTCACCTCCAGAGTGGAGTACCGTAAAACGCCTTTAGAGACAAATTAAACACTGCATTGGTAGCTGTGCTTTGGGCTACACTCAATGCCATTGGCTCCCCCTAGCAAAGAATATGGCAGGCCAAATGGTTCGGGTAGTTGCTATGGCAGAAATGGATGTGTTGTGTGTGGATGATTTGGCGAGACTCGCAACGAAAGATCAAGACATTTATCTCATCTGCGCCCCAAATTCCAGTTTTGCATAGACTAGTAATGAAAAGAAATGGGGGTTGAACAAGTTCAAAATCTGGCTACAGCATTGATACGTGACAGTAAGATCGTGACAGGTGACTGGTGAGCGCTAACGTGGCGAAGCAGTGGAGGAGCTTCGAAACGAGATGCACAATAGTGGGCAAGTGCTTCAAAAAAAGGTGACATTTTATTGCTGTAGAATACTGATCAGAAAAAGCGATATTTGAAAAAATGAATATATGCTACGCAGTTCACAAGCGACTCCACGGGAATCTGCGAGGTGCATCAATATCGTTTAGTTCTTAGGCACTTTTTGTCCACTTTAAAGCTGCTTGGATGACGAACACAGAAGATTGTGGGACACGTTGAGAACGTCCCCCAAAATAGCAATAATCACCTCCCTCGTGGAGATCTTTGAAGTCGGCTGCAAATCAGTCATGAAACTCTGCTTCCCCACCTGTGCTATCGGGCGTCTGGGCCTAACGACTGTAAAGTCGTAAAGGTCAAAGAAAAAAAGGTTCATCAGATAATCCCTTGAGTCTGTTCCAGGGAAAAAAACCGCTCGCCTTTAGGTGCTTGAATTTCTTGGACACAATTTAGCACGGGATGAGATCGAAAATTCCTCCACCTCGTCGATACAATGTCGTCAGTTGCACAGGCGAGAGAGAGTTAAGGAGAGTAATATAAGCTCTGCGTTACCTCGTAAAAGTAAGAAAAGGATCTGCTCGTCACCGACTCACCTCTCAAGTGGGAAAGTTTTCCAAGTACAATTTGTTTGGTCATCAACAGATGAACACCTCATAGTGAACAGAAAACACAGCATAGTCTTGTGAAGATAAATTGATGCCCTATAGGTGAGTCTATGGACTGGCGAGAGGATCGTTTGAGAATAAAACCAGAACATAAAAAGCAAGTCGGGGAGCAGACACCGAAGAAGTGGTCCCCAAATTTGCAGTCTTCCAAGCCCACTGTCTGTCCTCCCACTGTCATTGCTAGTGGGTGAAAGGCATTGGCTTGGAATATGCCAGCGTTACTCCCTCTCCCCAGTTAACATTGGCGGGGAACCCATTCCTACAGCTTTGGAACAGAGCCCAAACTAGATTGAAATCGCATTCATGCGGTCCAAATTGAGGGGAAGGTGGCAGAGAACACAATAAGGAGTACTGCACCGATGATAGGCCCACACATCTCAATGTTTTATACAGCACGCATATAAACAGTTGGGGGCATTCAACAAGTCACTTCGCACGTCATACGATAAAACTTCTTCTCGGTCGCTTGATACAGTTCGCAATCTAACGCTGGACGCAATGAAAGTAATAAATACCCATCGGAACCCACCAATTGGAAGCAACTGAAGGAGCTGTTGGTAAAACGACTTTCTACTACTCTCTCTTGACACAATATGGATCATGAAGTGACGCAAAATATGATACTTCTGTCATCTTGGACGTGCTGAAAGCACCCAAGAGAGGGGGGGGGGGCTAGGAGAAACAGGATGAAACCTCCTTCAATAAGATAAGCGAAGTGTTGCAGTTTGTTTTACCTTAAAAACTAATTAGTAGCTCAGTTGTAGTTCACTGTCGACTGGATTTCGTCAGTTGAATATGTTAGTTTACGACCAAGTCAAATGGCGTTGGATTGACCATCTAGTTGACGTTTGTTTTAAAATTGTACAAACAATTAACCTACCGCACTACGCCCTCCACGGTGGCTAAGCGGCGACTAGATATCAAACCGACCGCACTTCTTAGCCTTTCAGATCCTCGGCACCATCAAAAAAAATTGAGCAACTTGTTGGCACCATTCGCCTGTGATTTAAACGCTGGACAGGCAACGTCTACTTTTAAATGGGGCTGAAAATCCCACAAATTTTGATACTGCTCGAAGAAGCAGAGCAACTGAACACTGCCTTATGGACTGGCATTGCTCAGCTTTGATATTGGCCTCACGCAAATGAGCAAGTGTGCTCATTCAGACCACCTATGGATGGGCAATGAGCTGTGCATTCCTTCCAAACATCTGCGTCTGACCTTGAATAGCCAATAGAATCAGGAGGAAAGAAGGAAACTCGTCCGTGCAGTCTGGTAAAACCAAACGTATCCACTACTTTTGAACGCCGTCCTGTTCCTTGACCAGGTAATATCTCTGGGGAGAGCCATAAACCGGAAACTGACGCCAGGACTTACGGTTGGGAGAACATGGCACTTGTTGGTTAGCATCCTTACAACAATTTCGAAAAGAACTTATTAACCTTGATTTAGCTCAAGGTCCGGCAATTTTTTGAGATATTCATCATTTCTCCTGCTCAGAGATCTGCCTTTCTTGGCTTTCACCGCTTCTCTGCTGGCATAGTAGAATTTTCTTGTTTTCAAAAGTAGTTTTGGCTCTACAGGACCCAGCAGGATGGTTTATTTCCATGAGTCCCCACGCGAGGCTTCAACTAAGCCATCCTCAACAACGTAGTATTCTCTCACTCTATCAACTGGTTGATCTATTTTGATTTATCGCAGAGTTCAGGTACGGGGCAAAGGGAGAACGGATAAGGTGACAGAATTGCCCACTCTCTCTTTTCGTCCTCCATTTTTCTTCCGCCGGCCAGACATTGTTAAGGTAATGAGATTTGCATTGGTGCGCAAACCATTCTCATCCCTACGCTATTCGGTGGGCAGACTGGCGCAAGCGCGTTCGTCGAGGGCATTTTTGAGGAGGAAAAAAAGAAGCGCCGTTCAGCCTCTACATTAAAATCCCTCAAGCGTCATCTTGGGGCGGATGAAGAGTACAGAGCGCTCGATACGAAAAGCAAAACCCCTCCTTACTGTTTCAGCAATTCACTTTACCAAAAAATGGAGGCAAAAAGAACAGGTACAACTACTACTCCTTCGCCGCATCTCGTGCAAATATCACAAATTTGACCAGAAATGGCAACAGAGCACCAGGAGTACTTTAAGAGCACATTTTTCGGGCAAAAAAGATAAATTTTCATTTTTCACATCATCATGCAACGCTATTTAAAGTACACCCAAAGGGGGGGGGCTTTGGCAACGAAAACACCAGTTCCTGTCTTCTAAAGCGCATCAGGCTGGCTGTTTCATAGTTGGAGTACGGAACACTTGGCTTGAATCCAAGCAGGAGGATCCTTAAGGGCACAAACCAAGGGGAGGAGGTGATGTTTAAGAGTCACTCGTTGGTATGACAAAGCCACATTAAATGGGCTAAGCCTCTAAGGCCCAAAGCGTTTACAACTTGCAGTACCCTTCATACAGCAGGAGAGACACTCCTAGGTCAGAGCTCTGCTTATAAACACAACTTCCGGAGTCTTGGCATGAAGCCAGGTCAGCCATGTGACACCCTTCCAAAAGGAAGGCCGTAGTTCTATTGTTGAGACGTTGGCAATCCGTCAAGCTTTGTCCAGGCGTATATCATTAAGGATCAAAAAGTAACGGAAGTAGGTAGTTTTAAGTAACCCTTACAATTCTTAATTGTCTGTAAAACGAATTTTATTCTCATTTTTTCGGAAAAAATTCCCTTTTCTTATAAAGACACAGAAGCAATAAAAGTCAGGTCCAATGGATCATAAACTAAGACAGGACAGAAGTTGGATGAGTGGCTGAAAATAGCTAGAAGGCAAAGTACTTTCCTGGGAAAAATAAAGAGAATTCTATAAACTCATTTAGTGAGGCCTCATAAAAATTGGAAAATTGAGAGAATGAAGATGGCACATCGCCTTGACTTTGCATAATTCGTCCACACCTAGTTTACTGACTAGCCAGCTGGCTCGGTGGTAAGTCTAGACCTTGCGACACATTCCATCAGCCTCGCTAGGGGAGGGGACAAGAGGATGACAACTATGACACTAATGGGCCATTAGAGGAATGAGAGAGAGAGAGACAGAATAGAGCCCTCGATGCTGACAGCCAATTGGGGCAAATCGCTACTTCTGGTATCACACATTCCATCGGATGGAATGCGCCGCGACACACCCTCTGGGAGATAAAAAACCCACACATAAATACACAGTTACCTGGGCAGTTCGATCGAAAGTCTACTAAGAAGGAGGGAGAACAGTAACACCATGTAGCAACCAAATAAGGGAATGTGACAGGCATAGTGAAGCTTGAACCGCTTAATTGCAGGAAGAGATGTTCCTTTAAACACCTTGTTACAGGATTGGGAAGCACCGAAAAAGTTAAGATATATAGGAAACACTTCCCTTCGAATCTGCTTAAACCGGAATTAACCGATTGCAAGCCTCCATGAGGACCATGGTGGCCAATTAAGATAGAATGAGCCAAAACCGCTCTTAAGATCGCATACGCCTTCAAAAGTGAATCACGCATGTGGTCACCACTCTACCGGAAGGTGAGCGATTAGGCATAACCGCCTGCATCTTAATGAAGATAATCCGGACCAAAAAATAAGTACTTGCAAACACCTATGATACAGACCTGACTGACCAAAAGGGGAGACAAGGAGGATGCCATCGGAGCGTTAACCACTAAGATTATTGACAGCTTAGCTCAACCCAATAATGCCATAGAGGGACGAAATTTAACGTCCCATCACAAATAAAGCAGCTTTTGAGTTGTTCAGTTATATGGCATGAGCTAACAGACAAGCCTTCAAAATAAGAGCCCCCAAACCCATTCTTGTCATTCCGTCAAGTTAGAAACCGCGGCAGACTTGAAGACTGGCCAATAGGAGCACTACCTGAACGCTCAAAAACAAGTCAAATGATTGATAGCTCGAATACTGACAGGGGTTTAAGTACAATGAAGATCCCTTCTTGGATGTGAAACGCTTCAAGGAAGAGTCTCGAAACGGAAACCCCACTCAAGTACTCGGAGCTAAGTCCAGCTCTTCGAGAGAAAGACCCGAATTCCACCGCTTTCGTGAATAAATTCGACAAAGCAAAGAGGGACGCCGGTGGAAACAAAGTTGAAAGAGATTTGCACTGACCACGCAAATCAATGTAGGAGTAATTAAAGGCGAACTTAAAATGCCTTTTCTGATGTAATAAAATTGCTAGAATGCCAAAAATTACACGAACCTTTTGGCCACGGTGAAAAATATTACTTTAACATGATTTGGCAGCGGAATGGGAGAAATAACAGGAAATGTCACATTAGGTTTCAAACTTGAAGGAAAAAATTTCGCGGCGTTATCCCAAAAACACCACCTGTACATCTGTCAGGATAAAAATAGGGACTTCCCACACACCGGATGTGGGATTGGAATCCAGAAAATAGACTAGAAGCAGTCACTAATCGTGCTGTTACGGCCAGAAATGCTTGGTTGCGAGACATAAAACCCAACAACAAGTTAAGAGTACTGAATGGAGGGATGGAGAGCAGAAAGGAAGTATTGGTGGGTAACCATACGAGGTCACTGACCTTGTTGTCACCTCCAGACACGGCAAGGATGTTGCCCGTGAGGGACCAGGAGACATGCCACACCACATCAGGGTATGTGGCCAGCACCACAGGTTTCCAGACCTCCTCTGCCGCACCCTCTACAGCAGTGCCGAGGAGACCTGTGGCATTGACGTCAGAGCCGACACGACGTCGCAGACTCTGCCAGACGATGACACAGCCATCCTGTCCACAGCTGGCGATCTGCTGACGGGCGAGAGAGAGGGAGGGACACCAGGCGACATCGCGCACCCATTCGGTATGACCACCTTCGAGTTGGGCCTCCTTCACCCAGCCCCCGGAGCTTGGATCCTCCCTAAAGGGAGAACAGGAAGATACATTATGTCAATTTGAAAGATAGTAAAGTGGCTCCCAGCTTCACTAGAATCTAGTCCAGTTATGGTTGCTATAAGCAATCTTGGAGTGCAAACAAAGTAAACCTACCACTAAAAAGTTTTAAAGACTTAAAAATTAGCCCGTGAAAAACGTCGGTTAAACAAATAGGAGATTGCGATGTAATGCTAAATTAGGAGAAAGGATAGGGGGTTTCCATAAGGTCTAGTTCATTTGCTGACTCTGATACTTCTCTCCACGGCGAATATCCACCTACACTTGGACACGAGTCCCTTTTGGAGCAACAGTAAAAAGAGACTTGTCCTCCGTTAGAGGCAAAAAGTATCAGAGATGCCCCCACTGCAAGACTACCAGTGGGGTACTCAAGCAACCTCTGAAGGTCTTCCAATGTAGGCAAGTACGGAACCTCTATTCTAAACATATGAAAGACCTAGCGGACTGTTAGCTTAGGTAGCGTCGACCTCTACGCCACATTCACAAAGACCGAGCCATAGGAGGGTAAAAGGGCCTGCGTAATCGTACATATTGGTAAAGCAAACATATTGCTGTGAGCACCATCCTTGGTGTACTCCTACACAATCCTCCGAGTCACTCAACAGGACAGGGCGCAGAAAAGGAAGAATCCGCAGTCCTACTGGCAAGGAATGAGTAGTAGAGTAAAAACTCACCGCCAAATCTTGACGAGGCAGTCACAGCCCCCGGAAACGATGCGCTTAAGGAGACCACAGGCCGTTTGGCTCAACGAAGGGTTCAGTATGAAGTCCGCGTTGATGGCTGGAGCCCATGAGACCGCGTTCACGCCAGACTGCAGTTTAAATAGACAATTGACGAGGTTACCAAAGTCATACTACTGTGAGAATAATTAGTAGTATGAAGAGACTCCCTGATTTAAATCCACAGATTTCTGATAGTACAAGTTGTATTTGTTTGAAATAAGGCATGACAAATAAAAAGCAGACCCCAAAATCATTTCATAGTTATTTTCTCTCATATCTCTCTAAAATTGGGATTAAGAAGGTCAAAGGTTCGGAGTATTTAACATTGACCCATTACAAAAGTACGCAGCAGAAAGCTAAAAAGGGAGTGGGCAGTTCCGATGTTTTTTCGTTTGAGAGAGTAAAAGCTTATAATCACTGAACAGTACAATTTATGTGACTACAAGGACCTCTACCAAAGCAAATAACGACTCACAACATCAACTACCCGAAACCCATGCTTGCGACAAACACAACCAGTATGTGATCGGTGGTTTTTTTACAAAAAATGTCTAAATTTACGTGTATATGTGTATGTGAAAAAAAACACACTTGTGACTCATACTAGCAAGCACACCTAGGCGCAAACACTAAAATCTCGTCTGTGAGACACCTTGTTTCCTCCAAGAAAGCAGAAATAAAACAAGACCCTCCTGATGACCTTCGGTCCCTATTTAGCTCCTCCAGAAGCATAGAACTGGAGAATAAGGAATAAATTTAGCACCAAACTCTTACTATTACTGACTTATTTTATTCTGGGGCTAACCGTTAAGACCAAAAGAAGCATGCTTATGTAGCAATAGAGTGAAAAATCGGGTTTTTGGCATTCGGCTACACAACACACCACATACGAGTCATAGATTTGACTCCATTACTCCATTAGAATTGCGTCTGGTACTATAATTCTCCCAAGCCCTGCTGAAATATGAGGGCTAATAAAAACATCAAAGGGATAATTGCGGTTCCAGACATGAGCTAAATGTCACGCGAGAAACCGGAGCTAAAGCCAGAGTGCATAAATAGCTACTTGTAATGTAGACAGTCGATATATTCACTTCAAAATGCCTTTCTAAGAGTAAAAAGCCACTGGGCACCAGAGTAGGCTTAAAATAACCTTAACTTCTTATTCTCGAAGGGGATCTTTCCATAGTAGTGATGGCTATAATTTTTTACAATCGGTGCAGTGGATGGAGATGAAAGAGATTACAGAAAGGAACACCGTAACCATTCTACTCAACCTTCTAACACAAATTATATTACTTATTCTCATAAATACTATTTATCGGCGGCACAAGTGGTCAAAAGAAGTTCAAAGGGTTTTTATGCACATAGCTATTTATTTTTGACGGGAAAGAAAGACGTTGAAGAGGCTAAAAAAAGAACTCAAAGAACATTACCTCAATTGTTGGAACAGGACTTTAGAACAAGAAGCACTAAAAGCAACCACGTCAGCTAAGAGCGTGGAAGGTAAGGAATAAGGCAATAATTTCACAGATTCAGTCCTAACAGAAGTGGAAGTGGCAGACGCGAGTGGCCGAGCAGAAACCTTACTGAGTGAATCAATGCTCTGTCATGCAATACACTTTGCAAGAAGTGTAGCGTGACTACTTTAAAACAATTAGTAGCAGTTAACAATATATAGGTGTATGGCAATGACCATTCCCATCGTCCCAGAGCACCCAAACCCGGCAATCTGATTTGCGTTTTCCACCTTTTCCCAATCACAACAAAGGTAGGCAACTGATGCCTTCATGACAAAAACACTTGGGCTTGAAACAGAAGGCTGTCTAACAGGGGGCTTTAACATATTCAAACGATGCAGCGATCATCAGGTGGGACATTTAAGGGGGGTGAGCACAATTTTTACCACTGCAATGGGTTTAAAACTAGACCCCCTTTTTGCATATCACCTCTATGGGTAATTCATCCCACACAGGAGGCACAAGGATAACAAGGAAAGATCAGAATTCCATAGAAACCTCTTCCATACTTACCGCATGAGCATCAGGTATCGTGGTGCTATCCCAATTTCCAGCTGAAGTGTAAGTCAGGATTGAAATTATGCCATCGGAACTGCCACAGGCTAAAACAAGCCCATATTCGTGGGGAGCCCAAGCCACAGTGTTGACTGAACTCTTGTGGTCTTTGTACGCATAGAACTTCTCCCACTTCCCCTCGTGTTCCATCCACACAATAACGCTGCGATCATAGCTGCAGGAGGCCAGTAGATTGCCATGAATAGGGTGAGACCAACTCAAGCCCCAAACTGGTCCCTGGTGCCTACATAAAAAAAGAACTGCTACTCATTGGAACAATTTTCTGGGCTGTAAAGCCACGGTCCACTGACCCTCTGAGTTCGGCGATAAGTTTCTGCTTCTTGTCTTTGACATTAAAGAGCTTTATAACTTCGTCGGAGGAACAGGTTGCTAGAGTTGTCCCATAATAGTTCATTTGAGCGTCATGCTGAATAAGCAGAAAGAATGAGAGAAATATTGACTTGCGATTATGTCTTCATGACCAGTGTCGACGGTTTGGTACACTGAGACCTGTAAGGTACATCCAAGACTTAATCCGTTTTAAAAGGAAATAAACTGCAAAAAAAGAACAAAGTAGTGAGGTGACTAAATTGAATATTCACAAAGGAAGTGCAAAGCAAATCCATAATTTGGTTGTAATAATAACTATTATTAGAAAGGTATGATTAGTGGCAATTCGCTTTAATATAGGTAAAGTCAGGTATCTTGGTTCCTAACTGAATATACATTGATTTCCAAGAATGATTTGCATCGAACACTTTAGTATAATATAAGGTCATCATTAGAGCATTTAATTCATGACGATACTACCATTCGGCCCGCGCTAGCATTAATAAAAATTGATTTTAAAGGGCAGAAACATCTGCAATTCAACTAAGCCTGGGGGACGGTTTTCAGTAGTTAACATTGCGTATCATGATTTCGCAATAAATACAAGGTACCAAATTCATAAGTTGCACAAGAAGTTCTACTTTTGAGTGCACCCATAGGCTACTGCTGAACGCAAGATTCCAGAGTAATTACAAGGTGTAAACAGTTATCTATCATTCAATATAAGTCAAAACAAGGAGAATAAGGAGCAATGCCTGACAAAGTCGTCGCCCAAAACGAAATATTTAGACAGAATTAAAACAGAGCCAGGGAAGAGAACAATTTACTGTGCCTTTGTATTAAAAACAAATAAAGCGCAAAATAGGCATTATAATTCCAAACCAGGTAAAGTATGGAGTTCTATGTGTGTTTGAAACCCAAATTAGGAACATTTAGACAAAAAACGTTGTGGAGAAAAGTGCCCACATTTACCATTCTCAAACGTGTAAACCGAAAATATGGGCACACGACTTTGAAATCCGTCTCCGGGCGCGGGTTTTAGTTTAATCCATTTAAACAACCAAAACGTAAACTATTTTAGGAACTAACTTCTAAAAAAATTATAAAATTATCCGATTTAAATATCTTAGGCCCACGAAAAAACTCATCAATGACATTCGCTTACCTAAAAGCATACCAACTTGCTGCGTCTGAGTCATCCCTGATACCTCCGGCCAATGTCTATCATAAACAAATTACTGAAGTGACTGGAAAGTTAAAAACATAAAAAGAATGTTAGTATACGGAATTGATGAAAGGATCTTAAGAGCTGAACATTCCGCGCAACTGAGTGAGTGATTAAGCGATTTATTCGCTACTTTGGGGGTGTTTTTGTCGTCAGCTATAAGGTTACCTTTGTAGCAAGGACCCATCCTCTGCTTCGCTGATATGATGCTAGATTTTAGCGCTTGTAATCCATAGTGAAAATTATGATATATACCACGGTTTGCTCTAGCCTTCTCGATACTCAGAAGCGTTCCTAACCACTTTGTCTGACGTATAGTTTAAATTGACTTTACAGGTCTCCTTTCAATGGTATCTTTTTGTCACTATGCTTCCATTTTAATGATGTCTGTTACTTTTGGCTTTGTGTAAACTTTGTAGGCAGTTTCTTAGTTGGAGGCTTTTTATATTTTTAGTATGGTTTTGTTTTATCCTTCTCGTTCATAATTCAGTATAGCCGATGGAAAAGACAGTGAAAGGTAGACATAGCTTCGACCTACCTTCCGTTGTGGGTGTGTTTTGCCATAGAAGTTGTCTTTTCTCCGTCTACACTTGGTGTCCATTCAATGGCGTTAATATGCTTGCCCATTTGCCACAGGCACCGCTGCTGAATGCACCTTAGCGTTATTCATTCGCACGTAGAGGGGGATGCCATGGATAGGACCGTAAACTCCTCCAAAAATAAAGTTTGCACCCTCCCCTCTCCTCTCGCCGTTCAGAACGATTGGGCTGAAGAAAACTGAGGCTTTATTTCTGACAGATGAAGAAGAAGAAGAAGAAGAAGAAGAAGGAAACTGCATCAGAAATCTAAGCAGCAAGCAAATCTCTCTCAATTAAACCACACACACACACACACACACGATGGAATTTCGCCGACATTGCAGCAGCAGAAAGGAGAAAAATAATTATTATCGCCACCATTTACGATAGTATATCGGAATTCGCCTTATATCAGACTGAAGTCGTTTGGATTCTGCACATTTACTGGCACCGCCGCTGCTGTTGCTGGGGCAGATTGGAAGAGTCCTGCCAGCAGATCCACATTCGATGTCGGCTGGGAAGTAGGTTGTGATACTGACGGGGGCACAGGTGCATCGGCAACGGTGCCTCGCAGATTCTGACGATTTCTGACGCCACCACCAGCGGGGGGAGGCGGGGGAAGAAGACCAGGGACTCCAGTGGGCGTACCCAATTTGAGACTGGGCAGGGGGCGCGCGCGTCCGCCGCCGGAACCCTCGCCGGTATCGCCGGAACGACGCGTATTGAGGTTCAGTCGAAGCCGTTGCCCCTCCTTTAGACCCAAATCTAACTTTGGCAGGCTCTGATCCGACGCCGATTCCGCCTGGAATTTTTCTGCTTCTGCAGCCCGCTTGCAGTGCCTTTAAGAGGGGGAAAGCAAGGCGATGTGCTACTGAACAGGGTAATTAAGTATACCGCTTTGATAGGGCGATAGTTGCCTATATTCCATGATTCGGTTATCATGCTGACGGCATGATGTCCTATACACGTATCTTGCGATAGTAATCTATCGGCTTGTCTGTATATTGGTATGCCTTGACGGATCGACGGAGATGACTCGAGACGCTACGTCGGTGTCAATTGTAAGCGAACCCACGTCAAATAAACAATCCCGGTCACACTTACACGTTACAGAAGAAAGGCATCTGATGTAGATGGATGGATCTGTAAATGCTTACGTCAGAGGGGCTAGTGGAACTGGGTTGACTTTTGGGTTCTGTACAATCGTTCGAAACTGGATTCGGAGACTCCATACCACCTAAGAATCAAAAACGCAGCACCTCCTCCGGGTCCTAGTATGAACAGCAACGCCCTCAGGGATAACATTGACCCTAGGCTAGTGGAGGCGATAAGCGAACTCGATTCTGGTCTTGATGATACTAAATGCCACAAAAGAAAGGAACCTGCTGTGAGTGACTGAATTTGCAGAGAATGATAACAAAAGGGCTACCGAAATGGTCTTCTCTCAACGAAGTGGCGCCTTGTAAATGAGTATCTAGACTTGATGGACGGGTGGTTTGGGAATAACCATGAATACGTTCGCTCGCAATGTGGTTGCTTCAACACAAGAGTGCAAAAGTGCTTTCTCATCGGTGAGAAGATAACCTTTTCCCACTGGTTTCCTCTTGTTAAGCGCACCATAGAGGTGGTCAACAAATCGTTTTTCAGTCTTTCAAGTCCACCGTCTGTCATTACATAGTCAGTGTAAGTAAAAACCACTTACCGAGAAGCTTTCATCACCACCACCTTTTTCAGCCAAAAAAATTTCCTTGTCACACAGAGAGGGCATTACTGGAACATGGCCTTGACACCATTCTTCAATCGTTTTCAAGGGTCGGTAGCAATGCCTATTTCCTCGGTACAGTCAAGACTAGAGGGTTCTTCTAAAGGTGATACACTATCACAATCGAGGAGCTTATTTACATACCTTTTAGGCATCACTTTCTGCTACCACAGCTTCTCCAAATGCCATACAAAAATTTGCTTCGGCAGATTTATAACGGAGTTAAATACGCATCGTAAGGTAAAGGAGCTTGAAACACATCTGCCAGGTTCAACCGGCATTTTACGAGTCGAGGACTCAAAATAAGATGGTAGTGAAGAGCACAAATAGAATGCCACACCGGTGAACGATCGCATGTGTTTTACAAGCACCCGATAGGTCTCATCACATCAATGCGACGAGCTATTCCGAAAACCACATGAAATTTTCAAGTCGCTTTCACAAGTGGTTGAGTCTAGTTGATGAAGCACGCATGCTTTCCTTGAATGGCCAGCTCTTCAAGACCACTTCTGGAGTAGGGAGAGGGACGACAAAAACGATGTCATTCATGTAGCACCTCAATCGAGGACCGAGTACGAAGAGAAACTTGACCTCAAGCGATTTTAACTCTGAAATGAGGCGTTGGTGCTCGGGAGACGGACCTAAATTGAGCTAGCCGCAGCTAAAATGGATACACCACGCGATGTAGTATAGATCTAACAATCATAAACGCTGGAAGTACCAATGTGAAGTAAAGATAGAAAACCGCATTACCACCGTTAAATCACCTCACAACAGTGCGTAGAACAGTTCTAGGTGTCAAGGAAGGTGATGTGTCTGACATGTTTAGTTCCAAAAAAGGATCTAGTTTTGAGCACGCTGGGTCAAGTAAATTGAAGGCAAGAGCTGAGCTGAGTCCGGGGTGAATGAATGAGGCGAAATTAACCCAACAACAGATCAGACACAGACCGAAGAGGTTGAATGAATTCCACCGATTGATTTAAACGTTTAAAAGCTCCACACTGGGAGATCTAACCTGAGGCCAAGATGGAAGTGGACGTATTCATCATTTCCATGTGTGCATAAATTAACAAAAGAGCCTTTTTTGATTGCTGGCGACTTTCCTGACAGAAATAGTGGGCTTTTGAGCAAAAACTGATATGTAACGGAGTAGATAGGTGAGTTTCACCCAACAAATTAGACAAGGCCGTTTCATTGTCATTCACGAGAGTAAGAACAAGTCGGAGTAATCCACAATGGAGGATTGATCTCGACAGAGGAAATATAAAAATGTGCATGTGATTTTAATGAAATCATGGACAATTCACTCAAAGATTCGCGACATTAATTGTTCCGCGGAGCCAAACCACTGGGGCACAGCGAAAATACAGCGTTTGTCTAGCTATTGAATTCACCGCATAATGTAGTGGTTTGGTCGACGGCTTTTACAGATTTTACCAAACTTAGATCATAGCGAAAGATGGAGATTACGTAAAAGCAGATGAGCAGGAAGCTAGAATCGTACCTAAAATTGAGCTTGAAACAAGTTGGTGGAACAAAAAGCTAAACAGAAGATGGTTAGCACATTCATCCATCCTTCCATCAATTCGTTTATTTATTTAAAAACCGAACTAGCCATCCACCTATCCGTAGGCCTCTTCATTGATTAACGCATCCACCTTTCAGTTCACTTACTTAAAGTGGTCCTGAATGGCCACATTGAGATCAAAGGCGTCACTTCGCTCAGCAAAACCAATGCCCACAAAGACTGTGCGCCCATCATCGGAGACCAGTCGGATGACAAAGTAGCGCGAGGAGTCGAGCACCTGTTCCACCGCCACACTGGGAAAGGCCTCCACCGGGCACTGCGCATAGAGCCGGCCCGATACAGCGTCCTCCAGGCAGATGTAGAGCGTCGTGTCGGTGCTACCGCTGCGAGTCACCACGCGCAGGCGCCCGGTCCAGCTGGGTGAGTCGAGAGACCAATCAGCGGCACGGTAACCCCGAGTAGATTGGCGCGGAGGCAGGGTGTACAGGAAGACTTCGCGCTTCACCAAGAGCACGGACTCGTAGTCAGAATCGACCATTGGGCTAGGTGGAGGAATAATAGAGGCTTTGAGTTACCAAGTTACTACATGACGCCGTCTAAGGCACTAATGTTGACTTTTCACCTGAGAAAGATGATAGAGAAACAACCTTCATTGATCTGATTTCATTATTACAGCCTACAAGATTAGGTAAACAAGCTCTGTGTACCCTTAAGCTCTCAGCCTAGATTATGGAACTGGAATATACTTTATTTGATTTGTATTTTATTTGATCGTCAACTGAGTGGACTACCATGCCAATAACTAGACGACGTACTCGTGTCGCTCAGCACCTTCTCAGACTAAATAAGTGTCCCCATAATCCCTTATCATATGGCGTACTTCAAGTTAGCTGAAACTGCACATTAGCGGCAGTGCAAAAAGTCCGCCAAAAAGGGTAGCCACGCCTTTTACAGATTGAATAAGTGAAGCTACGGAATCTCACATCAGAAGGACTAGTAAATCGACAATTAAATATTGAATCCGGTACAACATCTAAAGAGGACATCTACTGTGTATAACTGAATCCGTAGAGATACAACAACAGAGCTATCAGGGTAGTGTCAAATCGCAGCAACTGCTTAAATTCCAAGGTCCAAAGGATAGACTTGCACGAATTGGAATCCCCCTTAATAAACCTCTTACAATATCGCTATGAATAGCGATGCATGAGCATAATCTAAGAACATAAACCCTTCCCCAGGTTGTTCAAAAGCGGAAAGTGTCGAGTAGACATCATCCACCCTTTAATGGTAGCTGTTTGCCTAACAGAGAACGTGAAGTTTAGGAATCTCACCAAGATCCGTGACACGCATCATAAGAGATTAAAAAAGGCTTCTATCGTATCACGACATCATTTTCACTCCAGCCTAGCAATTTATTTCTATCTATACGATCCATTGTGACAATCATGGCCTAATAGTGATAATGTGAAAAAACCAGAGACGACGATCAAACTAGAGTAGAGTTACGATGAACAGTAAATGCTCCGCCATTATTTTCCATTATGCAAGCCATTTTCGCCATCCGATGTGCGTTCCATACAATGGTAGTACGAGGCTTATTTACGCCACTTACAAATGTCTGCACGCCTGCAAAAAATTACTCAAGAAATCAATTGCTTCTACATCACCAAAGGCAATCCAAGTGCTAAACTGCCAAGAATAGTAATTCTATCGTCAAAACATCAAAAAAATATCAGGAATAACAAAAAGTGAGTAAAATATGGGGTTAAATTATCCGAATAGGTAAGCAGAAAATTGGATAAGTTGGTGACGAGGGAAATAGAGGAGCTCTTATGAGGTATCCAACCAATCCTTTTTGCAACTATGTACCGAATCTGAGATAAAAATTAAAAAAGGCGACAGGAACGATGGAAAAGGATAAATCAGACGTGATAAACAGGGGAGAGCATTAATACAGAAAAGGACACGTATCCTCAGAAGATCAACTACGTTATTGGTTAAAAGGAAAATTCAAGAATAGCGCATGAAAGGAGAGAGACATAACAGTAATCCGAGTGAGCTATTATATTGTTATTCAGTTCTCAATTGTTAAAAAAATAGGGCCAAAAATTTCTAATATTCTTACATAGAGATTGTTGCTAAAAACATTTTAACTAAAAGGCAGTGACAGAAGCGCACATACTTTTTTGATACATTGTGCCATACAGGCCGCAAAACACTAGGAAGACTAATATGCCTAATTGCATTTATTTTAAAATCAATAAAAGAGATTTCATTTTGCCGCGTAGTTAGTGAAGATACACAAATTAAATACATCGCCTTATTGTAACGCCAGAAGTGAGGAGAACGCACTCAGCTTTTGTGGCCTAACCTTGCGCTTCGACAGCTAGCAAACGCTTTTCAGTTTATTAAAAAAGCAGAATTTTCTTTTACAACTGCCTATCTTGATTGTTGGCCCATAGTCAATGATAGATTTGTTTAAGTTAACCAGGACAGGTTGCGGGGTTCTCGGGTCCTGCTTAGGCTGTTTGTTTGCTTGTTTTATCTTGGCATCTCCTTTATTCCCGGAACCATTTTTATCATACTAGCAAGATTTTGCGCCACTTTTTTGCCCTCTTTAGTCCCAAAAGTAGCACAGCATGCATTCCTAGTAATGATTTTGGAAATATGTCTCATTCCGCAAATTCCGGTTATCCATTGACTCATTAGAATCATTTTGAGCGTTGTCCCAGTTTTACATTTTTTTGACAGAATTAGCATTTTGTTCGTTTTAAAATCCGACATTCGAACCCACGCATAGTGTAAATACACGGCTTTAAACTGATTAACAATGCTTGGGTTGCAATCTATGTCGGTTTGTTTTTGACTGATTATTTCAATTACCATCCAAGATGACGGATATCGCGTTGAAAAATGAGACAATTCAGTGTACTGCTGGTGCGATCCCTGTCAAGAATGAGAAAGGCCAGACGTACATGCAGAAAGTGAAGGTGCACCGCTACATCGCCGGGAAGCGTCCAGATTTCGCCTCCGATTCTGAGGGATCTGATATCTCTGATTTTGAAGTTGAGGCTGGGGGCGATGCTCATCAACAGAAACACCACCGGAGAGTTGGTGCCTCAGAGGAAGTTGGGAAACGTGAGAGCATCTCCGTCATCGAGCAGGAGCCCACGGCTGAGGAGCTCAGTGATCCGCGATTTCGCCGTCTAATGCTCCTAAAGGTAGTTGCTGTTATTCTCCTTGCCTTCTAGGTCTTACATATCTCACCCTTCTTGATTATTTGAAGCATACGGTTCGCCATACCTATCATCTGTAATTTCTTGATCCGGTGGTAAAACTTTGGAGTAGAGGGTTTCACTGCCATGCCGAACTTCATTGAAAAGAGGCGTCAGGCGCGCTGAGTCATTTAACGTCCGATTTTCGGTGAATGCAATGAGTACTCGGGTTAAACTGAGTTCTTGCGTTACCTTCAGATTGATGGGTTGATCTGATTTTCTGATGAATTCGTATAATTTGTGTCTCTTCGTGCATGTGAAGTTTTTTATTTGGTCCTAATGTAACTCAGAAGCAAAGTGTGAACTAGCCGTCTCTTCTTTTTGTTAATCGGTTTATAGCACACGCGGGAGACGGTGGCGGCGGGGGATGAGGACGCGGAGGACCGAGTGATACGCCACAAGCGTTTCCGTGGCAGTGGCGATGGTGCCTCTTCATCAGAAGACGAGATGAAAGATGGCATTAAGGAAGAGGAAGAGGAGGAGGAGGTGGATGAGGAGGAGCTTGCTCGTCGGCGAGAGGTATGCAGTTTTCCCTTTTTATCGATAATTGCTTTTCAACTTGTTAATTGTCCTAATGGGACTTAGTTTTTGTCCCCTCTTTTTACGCATTCTTTCAAATGTCGGCTTTCTGTTTTTTTTTCAGTCTTTTTAAACGGTTCTATCTGTGAAATGCTTGAGAACCAAGAGTTTTGGCCATAAAATGTCATTTTGTTATCTGGATACACTTTGACTGTAGTAGCAAGTAGAACTATTTTTGACCTGAACTTGAATCGGATACATAGTCTTTCTGAGTGTCTCCGTTTCCTTCGTGTAGTTGATTCGTCAACGAGCACGCAAACGCCGTGCGGCGGAGGAGGCGGACCTAGAGCGAGCAAGCGCTGCAGATGGGCGACGCACAGCAGAGGTGGAGGAAGCAGAAAAGGAAGAGGAATATGAGGAGGAGGAGGAAGAAGAGGAAGAGTACACTTCTAGTGGATCTGAGGACGAGATGGGTGCATCTAAACTCAAACCTGTCTTCGTACGTCGTCAGGAACGTATCACCCTGCAGGCTAAGCAGCGTGCCGATCAAATTGCTGCCGAGGCAGCTGCAGAAGCCAAACGCCTTGCAGATGAGAGACGCAGAGACACTTTGAAGGTGGTGTCTCTCTTCACTTCTCTATATTTTTTGTACTTTCGGCCTCTGACAAATTGTGTCTACATTGTAGCTCCTGGAAGCGGAGATTCGTCGGGAGGCTGAAGAGGCACGACTAATGCAAGACGAGCTGGAGGCTTTAGACTCAGATGACGCAGCCGGCGATCCACAGAAGGAGCAGGAAGAGTACGAGCTTTGGAAAGTTCGCGAACTCAAGCGCATACGTCGTGATCGTGAGGCTCGCGAAGCCATAGAGCGCGAAAAAGCGGAAGTACGTTCTTCCTTTATTCACATGAAACTTGCCATTCAGTTCCTTTGAAGTAGCAGCGTTTTCTCACTCTGTGTGATTTAATTACTCTTCAGGTGGAGCGGGTGCGTGCCATGACAGAGGCGGAGAGGCAAGCTGAGTTCCGCAAGAACCCCAAGGAGGTGACGAACAAGGCGGTGAAGGGAAAGTACAAGTTCCTTCAGAAGTACTACCACCGTGGCGCCTTTTTTGTGCAGACAGAGGAGGAGAAGCTCTATCAGCGTGACTTCTCCAAGCCCACGTTGGAAGATCACTTCGACAAGACCAAGCTGCCTCCGGTCCTTCGCGTATGTCCCCATTCATCTTTTTTTTCATCCCCTTCGTATTAATATATTCGTCCCTCTCAAGCCCATTCTTCTCACATCTACTTGTCCATTGTTCCATTCAACAGCCATCCGTATTCGCAAGTTGCTTCGGCCGATCAGTAGGAGATTGGGCCGTCAGAGAACTCCAACAGAGTTAATTCTGCTATTCTGTTTACCTCTAGGGACTATTCAGGTTTGAAATCCCCTTCGAGGTGAGTATAACCGTCCCTCCTTTGCTTTTGGAATTAAAGGTGAAGAACTTTGGACGAGCAGGTCGGACAAAGTACACGCACTTGGTGGACCAGGACACGACGGCTTTCGACGCTGCCTGGACCTCCAACGATCCCTTGGCGACAAAATTCCAGATGTCCCACGGTGGTGGCTTCAAGGAGGTCTTCGAGAAACCCACCTCGAGGAAGAACACGAAGTAGTGCGCCATGTTCCTTTCCTAATCGTGTATATACGTGTTGGGTGCTCTTTTTATTCACTGCCGATCTTTGTAAATAGTCACTTCTCGTGGTGATCACATCGATGCCGTGCTGTCTTTCTGCGTTTCGATCATGCTTAGTGGTTGTTGCGGTTGTTGGCTTCCTCCAAGATCGCACCCTTACTCCCTAGTCTAGTTGCAAGTTTACTCGAAACAGCTCTCCGCGGTTTGCTTTGGGATAAAGACGACAAGTTCCTGTTTGGCCTCCGCTAGTGCATAGTCTGCCGATCCGCGTGGCTGAAATTCACTTCAACCGGACACACCGAAAGCCCTCAAAGGTGGAGAAATAAACTCAATTTGCTTTATTCAAAGTCCACATTTTTTGATTCCTAATCAAATAACAAAATTAAACAAGAAAAGGATTTGAAAGTCAAAAAGACAAGTTAGATTATTGCACTCCTCAATCATGGAAGACTTCAGTGATGGCGCGTTGCAAACGCCGAAGGTGGACGAGCAATCTCTGCCGAGATTGGAGGTTCGGACAGTCAATGTTGACGCACGCCTGTGAAGGTGAGGGTGTAGAACGTATTCCACATGGTTGACGCCGATTGCTGCAGTTGGAGACCTTCACACAGGCGTCGCACAAGTCCATGGACTGTTGCAGGTTTACCTGGACCATCTTTAGCTGAAGAGAGAGGCAAAGAACGGATGATTGTGGAAAACTTTCCTTCCATCAATTGGCCCAGTCACATCGATTTCGCTCACCTCGATGCCATGCCGCACGAGTACCTTCGTAGAGATAAGCGGGTCCAGGGATAGACATGAGGCACAGCAAATCGAGCCTTTAGCCACTCCGCTATCCCCACCGCACGCAAGGCAACAGCGTCGCAGGCTCAGAAACTCGTGCATCATGGCAGACGCGCCTTGTTGGCCAACCCATCGCCTACGTCCACGTCGTGAACCTGGAGATTCATGTTGTATTAAACCGTCCACTTTCTCCATCTCTTTGAAACGGACTACGCGGCGTGGAATATCGGACAACCACGAGTCAACCCGCCAACCAAGGAGGTCACCGACTCGACGAAGGGGTGGAAGAAGTTGATGTTCGAGGTAGAAGACCAGATGGAGCGGTGGCTGAATATCGTAGTGTTGGGCTTCCTCTGCGGCTTTGACGCAGCCAATCAAAGGAGAGTTGGGAGTGGGGGGTGAGGTGAGGTAGTAGGCGACGCGTTCACCGATACTGGGCTCTCGGGCTGGGTCGACGGACTTTAGGCGTCTGTGGAGGTGATAGAACAAGGAGGAAAGTTCGTCAGAGAGGCAATTGCCAATTTCTAGAGACAGACAGAAGAGATGGGTAGGCAAACCTGGCAACCTGAAGGGCGGGTGCGCAAACCCCAGGTCGATAAGCCTCGGGACCGCGGTATGGACGGGTCAGAAGGCACGCGGAGAGAGGCACCTTCCCTGCATTCAAATCACGCGCTAGCGTGCGCACGCATTCCCGCACTTTTGGCTCCACTTTGGGCAACACATCTGCAAGGGTGGAGATGTGCTACTTAATTAGGTTTGAGTACAATTGCATTTGGAGTTGACAGTGCAGAGGGGTGTTGCTGAATTGTTTTTAATTAGATGCAAAATGGACTTTTAGATATAGGCTTTGCAAGGAGGTATTTTGAATAGCTGCTTAATTAAAATTAACTATCACACTGCAATCCGAATTAACTCATTCAAAGGTGTGGGGCTGCGCAGGTGTGATTGTCCCAAATGCGGAAAAAAGTTTTTTTAATCGGCAAACGTAAGGGCCATTGACGCACCCAAGGGGTCATTGTTCCATTGAAAGGCATCAAAGATTTGACGAATTGCTGATTCCAAAATCTAGACAATAAGAAGAGAATGGAGGAGAATCCCAAAAAACCCAACGATGGTAAATTTCTAGTGTCATTCAATAAGCGTTCCAGTCGTGCCTTCAGGAGACTTGGGGCAAAACAGGTGTATCATACGGTCAGTAGCTCTCATTCTGGGGTGTAGGGAGAGGACCAGAATAAGGCCTCAGTGAGTAGGTGATATGCGGCTAAAAGGAAGTGAGTAGTATCTTACCGTTCCAACAAAGGGTGCGTGATCGCGGCGCACTGTTTCAATGCCTTTAGCATCGAATTTGGGCTCGGTTTGACTTGGTGATTCGTAGGCATAGCCAACATAGCGTTTCTTGGTTTCCAATACACATGGGTAGTATACCTGAAAAGGGTGTTGGCAATGGCTTTAGGATGACAAAATAAGCAACTACACTTATTTAACGCTCTAACTTTCATCCGAGTTAAGCACTCGGATTTGATAACAAGACAATCGCGAATTGACTCTTTGGGATTAGGTTTCGAAATAAATCGGGAAAATTTAGTGAAATTTTTAAATAATCTACACTTTTCCTTCTGAAATTAGGGGAAGAAAAGCACCTTCTCCAACTTTAATTTAATTGGTGCGGGATTGGACGCAGTGACAGCGTCAGCAATCTGTTGGCCTAGTTTAAAAGCAGTTTCCTTGTCAACGGAAGGCGGCAACTTGACAAAGAGGCTATCGGTGTCACCGTAGATGACTTTTGACCCCGTCCAGGGCATTTGACAAGCTGCATCACCCTCAACCAATC